GTTTAATAAGTATTTGGTTTGCCTAATATAAACCAGTGCACCATCTTTTCGATGGTCAATTTCAGTTACTTGCTGTTTCCTCTAGTTAACTAACTTCCCAGTGAGATACAAGTTGTACTTTTGACAGCAGCGTTCATTTATGTCTCTCGCTGCTATCACAATCACTCACTACTCAGTAAATGTGAACACGTGAAGTCAATTATCTAATATTCCTAATGTACGTGTTCTAAAGACAAATTGATAAGAATACTAGCAGTTCAGTGTGGGAACGGTGCTATTGGGCTACTCACTGACCTGATATGTCGGCTCGCAGAGGTTTCGTTACTACACAAGTATGTCACACAGACGAGGTTGCTTAACCTGATTACGAAAAGCCAGCAAATAAACCACGCAGACTGAAGCACAGTCCAATTGTCCAAACTGATATGCACATACGATTAAGTTTATCAGAGACATAAGTACACCCGAATATCTCTTTGATTTGACTGTATCGTTTCTTGCTTATAACAGTGAGTCAATTATGGACGTCGCCTCATTGGTCTCCCAAGCTTCAGTAAGCGTTCCATACGTTGAAAGTGGTGAACTGCAGCTTTGAAACGGACACTAGTCTTCCTGATTGGTTTAGTATCCCAGTCCATTATTTTTCTAACAACCATCATTAACGGATGAGCTTTTCAGGAATTTTCGCTTTTATGTGTCAAATAGACTGTATAGCGTTGGTTCGCGCGTTTGGAGTAATGTCACCGAGGGCTCGACAAGTTGGTTCCGACCGCACGTTTCACGGAGTCAAGTATCTCACACAAACCTACAGCAATTCTTCCCCTAGGTCTTCGGCAAAATTTCAACATGATTGGGCAGTAATATAGCGGAACTCCTGAAACGTGCCATGTCATACCATTTTGAGAACCTTAATTATATTTTTATTACCAGCCTCTGATGCATGAACTGCACGGTAATAGTTCCATCTCGATAATATCGAGAAGGGCGCTCTTTGTGTAATCGATAAAATACATAATCACTACTATAAGAATCTTTCGATTTAACTGATTGTACCTAAACGGAAAAGAAAACCTTTTGCACGTGGGCACTGTTAATTGGTCCGCTGACCATCTACATTTAGATCTATTTTCCTCTGAGACCACATTTAGTTAAGTAAATGTCAATGCTCTGTACTTGATAACAGAACAAAAAAGTAAGGAGGAACTGAATAAGAATCCTTATGCTTTGGCGTTTATCTAGTTGCGGCACGAAGGAATTGTGCCTGGTTTCATCGATGGTGGGGGAAATCACAAGATGCTGCGAAGCTTGTAGCCCCGTAGCACAGGGGCGTTGCTATCCTGTCTTTAACCGATAAATCCCTAGCATCTCTGTTTGTTTGCACTTGCTTTCAAATGACTGCCGAGTTACCCTTGAGAACCCACCTCGTCCCCGTTAAATGAATTCATTTGTAGCCCAACGTCCCTCATTTTTGAAGGAAAGACACAGAAGGCATCGTACGTACCCCAAGGTCACTTTATGCGTGGACAAGGCGCACCACTTCTAAGCGTTCGACGGTAACCACTTCAGTACCATGCACAGGGCGTTAAGACCACTGAAGCATTGAGCTTATCCCACTACTGCCTCATGGGGCAAATATTTAGCTGCGTATCTCAAGGATCACCATACGTGTTTCTTATTAGCCGTCGCATATCTGCTTCAGACAGGTTTTACGTTACGCAAATCGACAAACGGAGTGGAGTGGTATGAAATCAAATGGCCTCCAACCAACCTACCAACTGTAGATGTACGTATTTCGACCGGCCGGGGGCCGAGTGGTCTGCGTGCTTGGTTTGCAACCATATGGTCACCCGTTCGAATCCTCATAATGTGGGCGTCCTCGCGGTATACTCAGCCAGAGTTCGACTGGTGGTGGTCGCGCAGCAGCGGAGTGCCGTTACGGCGTACAGGTGACACATTATTTATTAGTACTTATTTTGACATACAGTAGAAGTTTCCCCTTGATACTCAGCGCATGATACTAAAAACAAGCTCATACTCCGAGTATCCTGTTACTTATGGTGTTAAATTCGCTATTTTTCTCCATGGTCAAACTGTCGGCACACATTCCAAAACGAAGATCAGGTGATGTTCGACATGCGCACATCGTCCTTGACTGAGTTGCAACGCATGCCCCCCGACAACATGTTCGCCTACAGCAAGCTGTTTTCGCCTCCTACCTTCAATCGCGCTAGGATCTGCAGTAATTTCTTCAGTATTTATCTCCCAGGGCCAGTGTGTCAAACAACTGATTGGCCAGCGTCGATACTCCATCTCTGGGTATCTGAAAGCTGGATGGTCATGGCGTCGATTATCGCACGCCTAAATGCTTGTCGCAAGGGAATTGATTTGATTGTCGGTGCATTTAACTCAAAGCAACAGAGTATCCATTCATGAGCACCAGTTTTCGCTCTACCACCCACATACGCACGCTGTACTTCAGCCTCTGGATCCTCTTCTTAAATCAACTTCCAAAAACGTTGTGGGAGCATTTAATACTCGGTGTTTACCACGTCAATGATCACCTCACTGTCAAGATGACTGCACGATGAAGGCAAAGAAAGAGAGAAGAACAAATGCTTCTGGGGCAAAAGGAGGCGCTAAAACAACGCTTTCCACAGCGTTAGTGTTACCACGACTCACTTGTCGGTTAACAATATACATCCTCAGAACTATCTGCAGTTCTCCATCTTTACTATGTGAGAAGTAATGATTTCTTTGCTGTAAATGAAGCCGAAAAGCAATATCTGATCCGTTTCCTACGAACAAAGTAACGGCCAGTGAATAATAAAAAGCCAACCTCCTTGAACATCCGAGAGCACTGAAGCCATAGTCGCTCTTCACCAACAGGTGAGCCATCAAAAAGGTGTCACCTCAGCATACACGGTTAGCGTTACTTACTAGGCTACATGCTCGATTAAAACCATACGGTAAGCTAGGTTAAGTGATACGGTGACTATTGTGACCAGTTCTGTCCATATTGCACAAATGATAGGCCTCAAAACGTTTGAGAAGATAGTTGTTACCCACAGAATACTGTCGCACACAATTTTATGGTGGCACTCAGTACGTTTAATCATACTTAGTAAAAGTCATGAGATCCAATCGCTTTTTGCCACAAGCTTTTCATCGGGTGAAGCGCTCTGGGAGCCAGGAAAATATTTATCAGTAAAGTACTCATTTGCTCGTTGTGTTCGTCATTTACTGTGGATGAACTTTTGAGGTATCCAGCACCAGTTTGTGAACTTAGAGGTCAGTAAGCTTATCATTCTACCTTGCTCAAAATACTTTTAACAAAGCTTTTTCAGAATTGTAGCTCATAAATAGTCTTTGAAGCTTCATCAATCCGTCACAAAACTACAAGGTGTCAGAGCAGCTCAGTAATCACATTCGTACAAGGGTTTTCGTAAAGGCTAATACTGTTAGAAAGGGTTTTGTTTCATGTTTGTTTCGTTTAGCAAAATGAAAAAGATCTCTAAATATCTCCTTTAGAAATATCAATCAATCAAGCTGCTATGCATTAATTTAATCTGTTTGATCAATAATGTTTAGATGCAAATAATGACCGCGGTTCCGGAACACAAGTAATAAAGATGGGTGAACCAGACAACGGCTCCTCATTTGTATCTATAGATATTCATCCATTCACTTGGAATAAATTGATTCCACGGGTTTACTTTGCTAAAGGAACCAAAAAGTATATTTTCTTAAATCAATAAAATTGGGTTAGTAGCTGAGTCTTATGATATAAAACAGAATGGCAGATTATGAGGGCAAGTGAAAAAGATGGCTAAAACCCAATTGTACTTTTTATGAGCGTCGCTAGATACCCATGCACATTCTAACTATCTATTTTGTACTTCACGTGCACATTCAAAGTGTTTTTTCAAGTGTACCTTGAAAAAATGTGTTTGCATTGCTTGCGGCATCAGCATTTTTGTTCCAATTCTCACCATAAATTGAACATGTACACTATGGACTTCCCACGGTGACATACTCCAAAATGGACCTAGTGAAGTCCACTTCGGGCCAATGTCAAGAGCTATAATAAAACGCAGACCAATCATCGGTAGTCATTAAGCAGACTTAAGGTCGACTTGGGCATAGTGTATCATAGCAAATTTTGCCATCTGCCGCGAGGTTGGTTGTACGATCAAATCCCACATAAGTGGCTTTAGTTTGGTTATCCAGTTTAACGGTAATTCAAGACAGTAACATGACAACTTAGTTTTTAATGTGCGTTTAAGAACAGAAAAATAACTGGCTACAGCATGTCATGAGCAGCGAACGCATCAGTTAATTCGCTAGATTACGGAATTCGTACCTAACCACTATTCACTGTGTTACGTGAACACCTACCGCGGTTGGGTTCCACATTCAGTAGGCCCATTTTTGAACATGTGTTCACGAAGTTGCTAATACGTACGAACTATTAAGATATAAGCACAAAATATGTTAACCTTGACGGAAGCCATTACGCAGCCATTATAGAATAGCGTTCAAAACGCAGGTATCTCATCAGTCAAAACTAGCAATAGGACAATAGCATATGCGTCCATGTGACAAACACTGATGAGTTGGTTTGGCACGAAAACGGACCGTACTGAAAGACATGCTACACTGTTTCCGAAGCTGAACATATTTCAGAAATATGTGAAACCATTCACGCATGTGCCAATAAGTTACTGACCAAATAGCTTAAATTCCTAGTACTACGAGGACTGATTTGCAAAGAGCTCTTAAATAAAAAGGTGGTTTGCTTTAATTGAATCGTACAGGCCCATATGACAACTCGCATATCGCAAACAACCTTGTTATGCACCAGCACTCCTTGGTGTACTGTGCCACTAATATTTTGCTTTCGGTTTTTAACCCGGTAACGTTATACAAGTTTGAGAATTTGTTTACAGTTCACTGTCCTTGTACCTCAAGGCACTTGGTAATCCATGTGAATTTAAACTCACCGGACATCTCAGCTGGCTCATTCCTTGGAGCCTAAAAATAAAGGATAGATATAGTGGCAATATTTAACTCTGAAATAATGCGCTACATTCTTTCTATCCAATATCCCCAATGACAACCAACTGTAAAGTAAATTGTAGCTATAAAGCTCATAAATATGTAAACTATATTTCCAGCGATGCAACGAGGAACTAGACACGCTTATCCAGAGCTAAATACAGTACAGTCGAATGCAGGATTAGGTAGCTCATTCTTTGAAGTACAGTGACAGCAAGTACATTTGCATTGCTAGCATCGTACCGATAACCTTAATACTAGTGCAAATATGGAGCTGTGCACATGTCTAATTTACCGACAGAGCTTCGTCACAATATGTTGTGAAACTAGATCGAAATCAATTGTTTATAAACGGTATAACCCTGTTACGTAACGCGTCAGCATAAAGCTCAATATATCAACCGCCAAGGGTCCCAAGATTTGTTGGCTATTGGATCCAAGTTCAGTTTAGTCAGCAACACTATGTGAACCCATTTGCTGAGTACTGCCATGTGGTTGGCCAAAAAGCAGTCTCCGCATAATTTAGTATAAACTGTACACACATTTCAAGCATAGAATTCCAAGTATTATTCACTAACTTTGTGCATTAAGCATTAGTATACTTAGAGGAAAAGTAGTCATTACAAGACTTTACCGGACGCAACCCTTATCCTCATTGGAAAAGAAGTTAACTGCCATTCAGTTACGTCTTCAGGACCAATGCTTTGCATAGTAGCGCTACTTTTAAGGATAGCAAAATTGCAAAATTTCTAAAATTAATGCCCACGATCTCACTCCTGCTGATTTAGACGCAGGAAAACCTATTTTTACTAAAAGTCCTCCAGTGGAATTGCACCAATAAGTTTCCTCCGTTTACAGCCTATTAAGTGCAACTTTATGTAGAATAATACCTCACACTGCATTATATGCAACTCATGTAATCCATAAGTTGATGGTTAGGTAGCACTTAACGGTCATCAACAGGAAATACGGTGGAATGCACTGGAATTACGGCGGGAGTAAAGCGCAGGTTTCCATGTGAGATGTAAATATTGCTCCAAACAAGCAACTTCGTTAACAATATGGTGGTTAGCTACAGAAAGCTCCAAGAGGTTCGGTCAGGAAGAAGGTGATTTTAATGATGGTGAACTTAGAATGCATTTTAATTTAGTACACTGTAAAACTAATGCCGCGCAGCTTGGTCTTTTAATGCTACTTTTGCTAGCGGTAGCCACCTCGCACTGCTGCAACGTCAGATAGCTCCAGAAGTATGTAAGACGAGGAAGACCTGTTCAAGAAACAACTGGATTAAAGGTATTTAAGCTGTTATTGCTCTTGCCAGCACTGCAATATCATAGATAGGATGTTCAACGAATAAATAAACAAATGTTTGTTATTGCAAACGCTGCTGCTATACTTAATACAAAATGCTGACAAAAGCATACCATCTAGTGAATTTGGCTGGATTATATTCTAAGCAGTTAAACACGATCACACTACATCCGGCGTCTTTACATTGAAAACATATATATATATATATATATATATATATATATTTGGTTGGCGGCATCCGCTTTCGGATTTGCCTGTCACTGTAGCCAGGCACAGGACGCCTGCGTTTACAGAGAGACCATGACTGGCTTGTGCTGCACCACCCACATCTCCATCCACACACCCCATATTCAGTGTAAACCCGAAGGAGTAAGCCTGGGAGACATGTAGATGGGAGCCACGTTTCATCAACGGAGCCGGCCCACACTCCTTCACAGGCAAACACAAGCACGCTGTATTTGGAGAATCAAGCGCACACAAGGCGGTGGCTGGACCGTAGTCCGCTTCACACTGAGTGCATGGAACCATGCTTCGAGCCTAGCACGACCAAAAGGACCGTGCACCCTTCCCCACCAGCAACGACCAAATGTCTCCTGGAGTCAGCTGGATGAGGTAGTGGGTAATAGACAGATAGGCACCATGTCAACAAGCACGTCAAGCGCAGACATCCCGGGGATGTCAAACAACAGCCAATCACTTGAAATTACAAGAGCAAATAGAATATATCTGTTAAAGAATATAGCTATGCAGACATAACTCTTCCCTAAATTAGCATATGAAATATCCTGGTTAGCAACGAATCCGCGATCATTACAAAATGTCCAGAAGTTACTCAAAAATGCTACAAAGGCAATAAAATTAACGAAGATAACCACAATTAGCGTAAGCAACGTGGCCAGTTAATAGAAGATTATTCAGGTAGGCAGAACCAACCAAACAACGTGGAGTGAAATTTGTCACCCATATATATATGCCGTATGAACTTGTTAAGTTTGTCATGCTAGAATTTGCAAATGTTCATTATAACAGCCAGCATAAAATTCCTGAATGGATTTCGTCACAATCTATGGTTCAAGCACTCATTCTTGTGATTCGAATGATGCAGTCTTTAACTAATGATGGTACTAATTAAAGCACTAGTGGCCTAACGCTAGGTTCTTTGGATGCAGCTGATAGTCGCCAATAGCTTGTTATTTTTACTGCTGAGGAGTTAAGGCTTTTAGCGACAGCTTAAACCCAAGACACTTAAAGTGATATGTAAATAGTTGATGTACTTAAAAAGTAGCAGGAATTTCGTAAAACATTTGTTAGCGTAATCAAAATTAATACGCTAATCTGTTCACTAACAAGTAAGCTTCAAAAGTAGCCCTTGATATGCCTCAAGTCTAGTTAAATTGCTTCGTATGTAGTGCCGAGAATAAATTAGTAGAGAGCCAAAACCAATGCAGTTGTAATACAATCAAATTATTGAGCTATTATTGTTTCATTCGAGAACCCAATGCTGCTTGTGAAACACGTTGTTTTTAACCTAATTAGAAGAGGGTGTTACAAATGACCTTCTTTAGAATCGTCACTCAACCTCTCATATGCTTTTCGTCATTTTATAAATATCGGCAAATATTTGTGGTCTGAAATAATTCTTAGCTTCTAAAAACCTATGGTCATTTGCGGGACTGCAAAAGCTGTAGTGGGGAACTATCCAGTGGAAGTCAATCTCAAGCACAAAGGCGTCACCTACAAATATAATCTCCACTTAATGTCCTAAACTTACCCTCTCTGGATTACAAAATTATTCAACTCAAAAAGGGTCAACAAGCAATAAAAATGATATTCAACTGGTGGGAAATAGCACTGTGTGGTTAGTACATAGCTGTCACTTGAGAAATGCTTAAAAGTGGTAGATAGGTCTTTCCTCTAAGGTTGGTGCTTATAATTCGGAGAATAACACTTTGTGTTTGCGTATGGTTTGCTTTCTGTTTAACATCTTATTCAGTGTGTGTATGAGTAGACAACAGAGGTCTGACTAGTGACGAATCCACGGTTGGCTGTGTTACTTTACTAGAACATTTAAATTTATCTGCATTTATTATTATTACCAACCAATCCAACAATTTGCAAAATGCAACTGATCAAGCAGCCTGCAAAGTTGTTTTGTAACTTTTAAAAAAAGGAACTCAAAGAGAGATTATCCGTCCCATGCGATCCTGTTGTACTTAATGATCATACCAACCAGTTGTACTGTGCCACATATTGTCAAGGAATGTACCTTTTATGTATTTATTTATTTACCTAAAATCGTCATCATATAAAGTCGCGCGTAACGCGCTACTCACTTCATTCAATGCAGACATGCTGGTAAAAGTTTAAAGGTTCATTACAAAATGCAATCGTATAATTGTTTTCTCCTTTAAAGGGAGAGTGTAGGATATTTTAGTTACTTCGTTAACCGCAGTGCGTAAGTAGAATGTCACCTATTTACTTTACAGTGTAGTTTGCCAAACGCAGAAATCAGCGGTTATTGAATCATAGGAATATAGAGGGCAGAAAGAAAGACTTTTGTCCGCTCCCTCACCTCCCAAGCATAACAGGTGTTTGCGCAACAGCAATCAACAAGTTAGGTTGTCACAGTTGCACAAGAAAGAACAAGCTCCATGTAAGTTCAACAAGTACAAATCCAACGATCCTTTAAACATTCCTCAGTGTGCGCGTTGATGACGGAATCAAACAAGGAGTTCCAGTCGTTCACCACAGGAGTCGATAGGGTAATATCAGAGCAAAGACTGAGGCTCCTACTTTTAAACAGTTTCCGGCAATAGCTCCGAGTCGAACACACAGTAGGAATGTGAAAGAAACCATGGAGCTCGATTCCCATTCCACCTCGCAGAACGCGCCCAGTGTACATCAAATCGCCTCGGCGGCGTCGATATTCCAGAGCGAATATATTTAAGTGCTGGAGATGAACGTGATATGACAGGTGTTGGAGCTCAAAGATGCATATAGAACCGTGCCTCTGAACTTTCTAAATAAATCCATGTTCAAACTTTGTAAGCGGATGAACTGAGGGTAGTTCATATTCGAGGATTGGGCGCACATGGGAGGACAACAAAAGTCTGAAAATATCCGCAGTCAAACGTGAGAAGGCTCTTCGGATACAGCACAGTAGTCCGTTAGCTGCGGAAACCCTCCTAAAAGCATGCTGGGTGGTTTTAAGATCAGATCATACAATAACCCCAAGGTCTCTTTCTTGGTTCACGTTATTAAGCAAAAACCGACAAGCTGCTAAACACCGAATAGTTCAGTAGCACCAATGAGGGATACAGAACATTTATCGCGCTTTATAGGCAACTACCATTTAACTGACCAATCGTGCAGCCGATCCAGTGTATTTTGGAGTAGGTCAGCACCCTCAGCGCTGGATACCTCCATCCATAACTTCAGATTGTCAGCATAGGTCAAACATTCGGTCCGGAGAGCTGAATAAAGACCTTTAATTAAGAACCTGAACAACTCTGGTCCCAGAACATAGCCCTGAGGGACGCCACTGCTCATAAGGACGGGGGCTGAATACGTATCATTGAGCTTAACTTGCATAACATGGTCTGAAAGGATATCAAAGAACTATGAGTGAACGCTCCCAGAGACACCAATTCTTTGAAGTTTGAACAAAAGCCACTCAAGAGAAACTTTGTCAAACGCTTTGCTAAAATCAACGTGGATAACGTCCATTCCTTTGCCTGCATCCAGTGAGTTCACCAATTATTCTCTGGCAACTAGCGATTTGATGGTACACGGGCGTGACTTACGAAAGCCACGCTGAGCAGTAAAAATGACACTCCAGTCGTCGAAGTAAAGGCTGGCAGCTCTCTTGAGAATCTGTTCCATAAGTTTACACATCAGTGATGTCAGGCAAACGGGAGGATAATTTGCTGGGTCTGAATGATTCCCTCCTTTATATATGGGCCTGACAATGCCCAGCTTCCAAGCTAATGGAGGGTGTCCGGATTCAATAGGGCAACGAAACACATGCCAAGCTGGGGCTGCAATGTACTTAGTCACGGTCTTGAGAAACAGAAAGTGCAGGCCATCAGGACCAAGCGAGATGTTCGGATCTAACTGGAGAAGGAACTGAGTAACAGGTTCCGTATTGATCTCAAGATGGTCCAGCAAAGATGAGCACGAGAGTATGACATCAGAAAACGGAGTTTCATTTGTATAAACGAATGAATACTGTTGAGCTAAAAGGTTCGCTTTCGCAGCATCCTCATGAAGTAAGGCAGCGTGTTTACCGGAATACAGAGGTGGAATGCCATTAACACGTTTGGTGCCCATTTTCAGATATGAGAACCTTTTGGGGAAGCACCTAGACTACACAGCCAAACAAAACTCGTAGTTTTGACTATTCTCCCGCTTCTTCAGGATACAAAAAGATTCCTAAGCGTTTTGTATTCCAAGTAGTCGGCCGTCCATTGCGTACACTTGAATCAGTCCCATAGTTTGCATCTTTCGTTCATCAGAGACCTCAACTGTTTGTCGATCCAAGGTGGACCTGTTGTTGGACCACTTTGTTAAAAATTGGAACAACCTGGTTGACTAGAAACCTACTTTTGGAGTAAAATCAAACAAAACATCAACACTCAAAAATGAGGAATGGTCCAGTCCATATTAGAAGCAGCCTCCTGCAGACGTTGCGGATCGGCTCGCCGGAAATTACACCGGAAATCACATTGGTCATGAATGGAAAATCAACGCGTCCATTGGAAGGAAAGAGCACAGTGGTCACTCTTACCAACAGGTTGCATAAAATCAGGTCGATGACATCCGACGGCATCGAAGAGAGCACCAAATCAAGAATGTGCGGCGTGTGGCTTGAAAACAATCGAGCGGGTGAAAAAACATGCTGTCGTTGCATGCTCCCTGTTCTTTGGACTACGAAAACTGGTTAAGGTTAAAATCAATGCTTGCCTTAACATTTTTATGCCACTGATCACCAAGGTATAAACAAGTACATGACACAAACTACTTTTGAGTTGCGCAAGCAAAACCTATCTAGCTAAATCAGAGTAAAATTCGGCCTACTCGTTGTTTGTGTGAAAGGACCTAATGTTAAAATGGTTGTTAACTCACGACTGTACGAAAAGGTTAGTAAAATGTACGACTTCGTCTTGATCGGTCTGTTGTAGTTTGTAACATATGAAACATATAAATTACCACGCGTTTCCGATGCTACTATCTAGATGAAGTTTGAAAATGTAAAAGTATATATATAGCAATAGTCCAATCAACAAGTTTATAATTAAAGTTTATAATTGAATGAATACATGTGGCATATGAGTATGGATCACACTGTCGCCAATTTTATCGCAAAAATTGGACAGAGCCGTATTAACATCACAAGTTTTAGACATCTGTGAATCTAAATATGGTATTTGACGACCGCTATCTTCCTAGCTTAAACATCCCAAGAGACTGGTTGATTGGGTCAAGCAATATTCTTATAGCTACTGTCGTGTTTCTGATGGTGTAAGCAGACTAAATAGAGCTTATTATCTTGTACTAGTTGTTCAATGAGCGAACAAATAGTTTCATTATTTTACGTCCGTTTCCTATTACTGTTATCCTAGCTACTTACTGCAGCAAAACTCATTTTCCACATTAAAGTAGGCTTCGCAACATCAGACAGTAAGTAGTCAGGTCTTAGGCATACCACATATTAGTGGAACAGCCACCGTCTGCCTGACATTGTGTAAGCGATCAAACCGGCGAACTGTCTGACAACTGTTGACAGTCTGAATTCCACACTGCCTGTATACAATAACTGGAACAACCCATCTCATTAACTGATGGATATGTGTAATATAGCTAATAGCATGAACTGAATCACTTATTTGCCTACTATGCAGTACTAAATGTAGGAATTTGATGGAAAAAGCAGCATTTATCAGGAGATCCGGTGAGTTTTCTAATAGTTGTGACGGTCGGTTTAAGAGAGCTTCAACATGCGCATGAGCCAACCCCCATAGTGTATTAGCTGGAATCGTCTTGCTATTATTCAATTATATTCCATTTTGCATCTGTTATCAACCTCTAGTTGTGGAGCTCGTTGGCGTATAATGCGCTTATTACAAATTTGTGCATAAGTCTTGCTTCGTTACATCAATATGTCAAATATACGAACTGAGAACTAAGAGGGGAAGGTCAAACTAGCTCCAATAAGACTTTACATTATGCAGTAGTGTTTGCCCTATTTGTAACTTGCGACCCGTTATCTATGTTTGGGGCGCAAGCTAACAGGACATGTGCAAAAACGTCGTTCAAAACTTTCAAATATGGCATCTAAATGAGCCTTAATTGTGCCAAAATAGCTGAAAGCGCTTTGTGCCTCATACAAGAGTGGAGTGCGAAGGAGTCAGGAGGATACATTAATAAACGTTTATGAAGAGTGCATGAAAAGTTTTTGGTTTTGTATCTATCTATGATACCGTACAGGAGAAAGCTTGAACATTTTTGTAGACTAAGCCATAAATATACATCAAGCAGGAAGTGATACATTAAATAAAATAGCAAACGGCTGGTTAAAAGCAGGCAAGTAACGCATAACGTGTAAGTCACATACACTTACACACAGAGTTATATGTCATATATAAAACAAAGAGAAACTTACAGAAAAAAGGAACCGTGACAAACTTTCGGTTTTTGTCTTCGGGGTAAGCAATCGCACAGAGTCAGGCAAAGCTGCTTAAAAAAGTTTTCTGTATAACACATGCATTACTTTTAGACGAATTCGCAGTGAAATCGCCGTGGTCAACGCTAAGTGGGAGCAAATCGGATAATCAAAAACAACATAAATACGCAAACCTGGTTAAGCGTGCAGATCCACGAAAGTACCTTGAAGCATGTCGAATGGAGGTAAGCCAGTTGTAAAACTCAAAGAGCAACTCTGGTTGTATAAAAAACACGTCGTCGTTACTATCCGTAATCTGGATAAACAGAACCTTTACGGCGTGTAAAAGAAAAACCAACAGCTATCCAAGGATCATCATCGTTTTCGTAGTAAACGTCTACTTTGGCCTGGCCAAGATAAACCTTGCAACATGTACTTGAATCATAAGCGTCTAATGAAAAATTTGCTAGCAAATTGTAATACAGGTACCAGGAAATATTAACAAACTGTCCTCAACGACATATGCCCAGCTCTTGATCTTCTGCAGTTTACCATCTCTTCTGGTATAATGGTAAACTACTCCATTAACCGGAACCTCGACTGATTCGACCGTGTTCATGAAAATTCAAAATCACACTGATTATATCAATTTACCATTGAGCCCAGTAAAACACGTCCAGCAAAACCTTATTGTTACTTTCCATAATGGGGGGCTGCTTATGTAATTAACCACTCCAGTTTTAACTAAGTTATACGCTTATTACTTCTTTACTTCGCTTACAGGATAGGACAGGCTCCAGGGACGAATCTTGCTGCCGCATAACGAGCGCCATGTTTCTTGCCAGCAAGCGAAAAAGCCCCCAGCACTGCGAATTGATAAAATATCCTTGATTCTATAATGGTGAAAAACAGCAAGTGCAAGACGAACAGCACACTGGCATGAAATAATGAACTTAGAGGCCGTCACTGATGCTCAAGGAAATTTGAGAAACAGGGCCATTCAATGTTTACCTAGGCTACTTTTAATCCCTCCACGGTTCCGCATGCTAGTAGAGCGGAAGGAAGTTTATCCTAAACAGGCATAACCCGGTTTGCAAGGAACCCCGCTCTTAACTCCAGCGTAGAGCTATGATGCCACCATTTCATGCAATGGTCCAGCAAGTTATCTGACCTATTTGATGCAAACAGATCCGTTTGCCCGGGACCATTGCGGCTTTACTTGCTTTTGAACTTCCCTATAAAGTAACCTCTTAATTTGCTTCCTCACTGATAATAAACCCAAGATGGCTAACAGATCTGCATATGGTAACCCGCTCTAACATTCTATCATTCACGTGGACGTCCTTTGCACCTTCTCAACACAAACCATATCTTTCCGCAGGTAAGGTGCCCATGCCTGAATACAGTATTCCAAACATGGTCTGACCACAGCTTCGATCAAAGAAAGAAAGACCTTTGGCTAGGTACAACTGAGAAACCTCCTGAGACGAAATAATTCCTGTCGCACTTTCTTCCCAGCAGGCCCGCACTGCGCCAAAAAGCTTAAAGTCACTCGTCACTATGACACCTAGACCACGCGCCTCGGTGACATGCTGCGGTGTTAGGGACCCACTAGCTGTATGCTTAGACTACCCCAGTGAGTTGCCATTGATGTTTCAGTTCCATCTTTTGCCATGAACCGTCTACATGAGTGGTTTACGGCGGTGAACTGTGTAGCAAACAAGCTTTCACTGCCTTGTTTACGCAACATATCCATATACCCACTTAGTGGTAATTTGAAGCTTTCTGTCTGAAAACGGTAGTGGAGAGTCGTTCTGTTTCAGGAACATGCGAAGGCATGAGGCGGACCTAAAAACGACGACCTCACAAAATAATCTCACGTTTATCTGCCCCGGAACTTCACCTAACGACGGATTATTGTACGATTTTAAGCCGCATGTAAACCTTGGTTCCCACGACTGTAATTGTGTTCAGCACCCAATCAATGCCTATGGGAGAGGTGCGACTATTTAATTCTGGGTAAATTCAGTGCACTGGTTATCCACTTGTGTCTGCTTGGTCGTGGGCTTTTGCCACATCATTTGATGCTGGCCTTCTTGGAGCATTACTGGATGACAACTTATCGCAGCAGGTCACCAATCCTACAAAGGTACTACAGGTTAACCACAGCATGTTTCCGATCCGGTACATACACCTGCCTCTTATGACATTGCTGAACTAACCACTCTGCCGCCAGTTGCTCATATCGAGCACTGTACCCTTACCTTCACTTGAACACGAAGTATTGTCAGTTCTGACCAAGGATTTCATCGCCAGAAGTTTTGGAGCATAATCCCTTCTTGCCTTAGAGAGGCGGCTGGCAAACTTGCCTGGAACGTGCCGCGTTATCTAGGACTCGACTATGCATGGATTCCTTTGCGCTTTAGTGAACTTGCTAATTGCACCGTTTGTCCCAACCACCAAACGATGTCATTTTGTGAGAGATACTCGCTAGGTTGTTCGAGAACTGTTGCTTCTGATACACCAACGAAGAAAATTATAGGATAGCTTAAAGTTCTCTAAACTGATCTCGGATTTTGCCCACTATAAGAAAGTTAGTATACTGTGTTCTCTAAAGCATGAAAAGGTGCTCTAGTATGGACGGAAGCTGGCTGAACAATCCCGGTCTATGCCCAAAAAGCGCTGTGCGTTCATTAACCGACGGACCAAAACCAGCTTTGACACCCGCACACTTATCCCATACAGGCAACTCGGTACCTCACGAGGGTGATGCGATAGTGGAGCTTCTGGCAAGTAATTACTCTTCCGGATATTTTTCAGCAAGTTCAGCCCACCAACAGCTAGGAGACTAAACCTTCCCATGGTCTGTATCTGTTCGTACCCAAAACGGTATCCATTATGAAACCCCTACTAGAGCTACATCCAAACCACTTTCTTGGCTCTGAAAGCCTTCATCCCCTGTAGCTCAAGGCAGTGGCTGAATACGTAGCTGAACCCATCAGCTAAGTATTCCACTTAATTCAAAATGTGGCCCTCCATCCTTAGACCGGGAAACAGCTGTCGTGCTGCCAAAGCACAATGACGGGAACCATCAAGCTCCAGTAAACTACCGTCCTGTTTACTTGACAACGATAGGTTGCAAGAGCATAGAAATGTTTACACAAAAAGGCTGGCTAGCCGAACAACCTCCTCGTGGTGCCAGCTGGGTGGTTCGGGTTTAACCCGTTCCAGCAAATAGTTCGGCGGCAGTGTTCCAGGACGTGGTGGGTTTTCGCCTGGCAAGCGTTCTCCCTATAAAAAGCCACAAATGTCTGTTTAACAACACTGCGACGTGGCGGATGTGACTCGCCACAAAATAAAGTCACTGGCCCGTGGATATCCGGAAACTGCTATCCAACCCACAGACCTCAATCGCTTATGCTCACATTCCTGAGGATAACAAACAGTCAAAAATGATCCGGCATATTCAAAGACACAAGCTACATTCATACAAAATTACACACGTATAGACACTCACACTGTTATGCCAAATATGTACTTTTTGTACAATTTTGATCACACTATGTTAGCTAAGCATGATCATGCCTGTAAAGGTGTGCCTCGCCTTGTCGAGAATAAAAGTTTATTTATTTATTTATTTATAGAAGCACCGTGATTAGGCAAGCAGCACATCCTCTACACAGCAAGCCTTTTCGAAGAGACGCTGTTGCACCACCAACCCGCTAGTAGAAAGAAAAAACTGAACAAGGTAAATCGATGCAAGTCAACAATTATATATTGCCTTCGTCGATATTAAAAAAGCACCCGATAATTTTCTGCGTCAGCAGGTATCCTGCAAGCTACACCGAATCGGTCTCAGTGGCAAACTTCACTCCTGGAGCGCAGCTATTTTAGCCGGAAGAATTATTCAAGTATAGGTAACCGAGACACTGTCTCAGCCGGTGCGCATGAGCAGGGGCGTTCCACAATGTCCTGTACTTGCCTGGACTTTTAAAGTGCTTCAAATGCCGCCTACCTGTCTTTTTAAAAAGGATTGGCTAAGCTATACAGGTGTGCTTAAGCTGTGGGCTGAGGTACCTGACCTTGAAGCTGTTTACAGGCTATAGCATGCACTAGCCGTACTACACCATCGGTCCAGCAACTGGTGCTTACCCATCAATTATGAAGAAGGCTAGGTTCTTCCAATAGGTGCGTCTGAGTCACTCGATACCTACCATGTTGGTGGCTTCCTCCGCAGGTATGCGGGTCAGGAGGACTTCTTAGGTGTACTGTTTGCCTCTAACATAAGGCCTCTCAGGATACACTGAGAAGTGTAGCCGTTGCTGACAGGGTGTGCTGCGGCATAAGAAGGACGTGCTCCCGAATGACACCAGATACCTTCAGGGCTCCGTTTAGTTCTCACGTACGCCCAGCCTTCGTGTATGGCCTACCAGATGTCGTATCCTGATTGGAAAGCTCCAGAAACGGCTCGAATTTTTTCCATGGTCCACGGAACTCTTTTAGCCTCTTCTGCTGCAGCCGCCGACTCTTTTCTTCCTGGACTAGAGCCGCTACAATGGGGAACCCTCTTTACCGCGCGCATGCTAAAGGAGGAACAGAAGAGAACTAGAACCGTTTTAAAGCTCAATACAAGGTGTCCTACACCAGGTCACTTCTTGAAACTAAAACGAGAAGGCTCCAGGTTCACACTGCTGTCGCCCTATCCACCCGGGTGCTAAATGCCTGGAACTACCTTCCGGAGAACATTATCAGTGCACAGTCTTAAGTGGGTTTGCAGCAGCTCTTGGTCTCTTAACTGTGTAGGATAACAGGATTGTGATGTTCTACTGCCATTGCTCCAGCACACTAGGACTGCTGGTCGCAATGACACATGCTATGTTCCGAACTGGAGGCGCCGTGGTTGAAATGTGACCTCACTCTGCCTTTTACAACTTAGTGTAAGCAATGAATAAGGAACGCTTTGAAATCCTTTAATTCCGCAGCTCACGTTAGCTAAGTAACAGATAAAAGCGCTTCTTCTGTATAAGTCTCCAAAGTTAGCAATGGCTTCCATGCTCTTATGAGAGCTTCTTAAATATCAGCAACGCGAAAGAAAGGAACACCTCCAGAATAGGAAACCTGGTCAGGAAATACTCACAAGATTTCGCTGTGATGACCTATACAATGACTAAGTGGATGTTCTCATTAAGCGGCAAGTACAGTAGAAACCGAAATCGCCAAGATGTTTATTTTTTGGGATCATCTCGTTATACAACATGGCGAAATAATATACGCTATGTGTGGCGTATTGATCTGGCCGGTTTTACTTCAAACCTGAAAGCCGACTCACTACAGATATAATTCTAATCCACGGCTTAAATTCCTACTCGACAATCCAAAACGACCATTACTGCTTATTTTGTATAGGTGTTTGTTATTCACCAGCCTTTGGTTCATCTATGCAGAGTTGCGGCAGGAGGAAATAGCCTAGGAGGCGTTTTAGCAGCCTCCGCATCGACCGAAAAGCTTCGCCAGCATAGTACGCGTGGCGAACGAGCCTGGCTTTCACTCCTAATAAAGAATCTCAAGGTTACAAAATTTAAAGAAGTACTTATTGCATTTACTGACTTCATAGTTCAATAAACTCTGCCTAACAAGCTTTCCATATTTATTTCTAATCCGCTACAAAATTCTGAGACTACAGGTGGTAGAACTTTGGTTCATAACCTCTGCTAATTTTTATTTGCTTCAGACGCATAAAAATGGAGATACGCATTCTCTTACCGTGCGTTTCGCAGACTGCATGTAACGTTTAAACGTAACGTTTAAACGTAACGTTTAAACATTGGTTCATCCGACGCAGATAAGCAGTTGAGCATATTACATTTGCATTTTCAGTGGGGTCAATTCCAGCATTGGGCTTAAAAGTCTAACTGCACATCATAACCTTACTAATAAAAGATCCAGAGTGAACACGAAAGACGTTAAAATTATCCAACTAAGGAGCATATGGAGTTGCCGAACTCCCGAGTATATTAATTATAATTTTAAATGGTGTTCGTATCAAAAGCAGCGAGGAATAGCCTGGTGCATACTAAACCGACAGCAGCAATTAAATAATATGCACAATCAACAAGACAGAGTGCCAACTGAAATGCGTAAAGAAGAGCAAAATCGGCAGTTTACGTACATCAAAATGGAAACCATTGCAAGTTCATAAAAAGCGCTTTTTTCCAAAATGTTGCTGCCACGGACATGTCAGATACGAGAAAGTAGTGCAGAAACGTCGAACAAGGAATGCAAATGAAGTGTTTGTCCGAGCACCCTAGTTAACGTATATTTACGAATAAAAATGATGCTTTCATTCGCGACAATGCAAGACACGCCTGCATAAGCATCATAATGGTGTTAACGCCTTAGGGAACGGTAACTGTTAATAAGTATTAGTATTAGGGGTTAATGGAGGCTGCGACTTAGTCCCATCAAAGTTACCCCGCAAAGTCTAGTACGCACTAAATAGTTTATGGTTATTTTATTGCATGACTCCCGGCTATCTTTCTGCCTTAGTATTTTTATTCATTTCTGTGCAAATGTGATATTGCAATTGTTTACATGTGTCGGAAAGCAGAAACGCGGTTGGAACAGTATTTTCGAACCCGTACGCCATGGAGTCTGGGTCGGGACTCTCACATCTGAGATTTGCCTAGCGGCGGGTTTGGTTCGGTAAGTATGCTAAGCCAACTGGAGAGGTTGCCATTAGATGGCGGTGTGCACATATATATATATATATATGTTAACTCGGTGTATGTTTTGTACTGAAGAAGGTTAATGTGGTTCTCATAGTTACTTGTTTTGATAGACTACAGCAGTATTGGAAATCACTTGGCGCCACATTTGTAACTGTCATCATGGTGGATGAATCTAGGGGCTATGTCTTTTGTTGCGTACTATTATCGGAAACTTGGTGAGATTGCGTGCGATGCAAAGAAATTTGCAACTGTCACAGCTTTTTGCAAGCATACGGCTGTGACTCCACGGCATTATGAACGGCAAAAGTGGAAGAGGTTGCCAGCTGAGTACCCGTACCGGTATGTGCAGTATCCCTGTGTTCATGGCAGGCGTAGCAACGTTCCTGGGAAACTGTAAGTTACTATTTTTACGGTATAATAAACGCTACACCGTTACAGGATGCTGGATTTCTGAGCCCATTTCTCTTTCAAGATGAATGTTGAATTTTACGAACGAGGGGGATTGCATTTGTGTCTTTGTCATGGTTTCCATTTTGGGAAGCCATGGCTATATCCACAGAACAGGCGGTTGACGGAGACATGGGAGAAAGAGGGGATCCCTGATGTCCTTGTTCAATTTGCCAGAAGATACTGGCAAGTTGTCAGATCCTGCATCTATTTGTTCACTGTCGAATGTCAGTTTATCTGTTAACAACGACCTTTTTAGTAACGAACCCTCAGACAGCATGTTTGATTCGGCTGTTAGCGAAGGAGAGCAGCAGGTTTCTGCCCTTGTCAAAAGATGACAAAAGAGGGTTAAAGAAGCGGCAAAACCCAAGGCAGACTTGAGAGATTCGTCGCGCGCTCATTCCCCCTCAAATTTTACTACTACTAATCGTTGCAACTGGAAACCTCTACGACACTAGTGTCTATGAAAACGGACACTAAATTAAAACCACTGACGTCTACAGAGCGTTCGGTAAATGCTCCGCGTCGCGGAGACTGGTATACCGACTGCAGTGCTATTTTCAGAACCGCCACTGAGTCTTCTGCTGTTCTCCCAAACGACCGTATGCTAGATAACCTTCAGTGCTTTAGAATATGCGCTACCAAAATCCTGCCTCCCTGCTTCCCAGGCGTGACTGTACGCAAACTAACCAGACTCGGTAATTTGCCAGCTGACAAGTCTCACCCTCGCTTGTTGCGAGTTGTTCTGTCCACTCCGGAGGAGCGCCAAGCACTTCTGCGTTTCGCCTTTAAGCTCAAGGGCACTGGTGTCATTGTGTACTTAGACCTCCCTTTGGCGGATAGGCTGCAATTACGGGAAGCTGCGAAGGATCTTGAAGCCCGCCGTGAAACAGAACAAAAGGGTCTCCTTTTGGTGGGTTTTCAGGTGGTGAGCCGACGGTCCACTTCCGCCCTACCAGAGCCGGTTCTGGTGGCACACGATCCCGGACTCACAATGTTAAATCCCTTCAGATGATCTTAAGCAATGTGCGTAGCCTGCGAAACAAGCTGTGCGAAGTCGGCGGCCTTGTTAACGACTGCCGTCCAGACGTTCACGCATTCACTGAAACGTGGTTGTCCACCGTCGTCACGGACAGTGAAGTATGCTTGCCAGGCTACGCACTGCTGAGATGTGACCGCAACTCTGCTCGGCGCAGAGGTGGTGTTGCTTTGTACGTTAACGCCGCACTTACTGTCTTTAACACGTATTGTTTCACATTATCAGAGTGTGATGTTGACGCACTCGCAGTTAACCTGTGTGTTGCCTCCGCGCAACTTAAAGTTGTGCTGGTCTATGGAAGCCCCAACAGCGTTGCTAAGGGGCTTGCTGGTTTCATCCGCGAGCATTCAGCAAATAGGTGCTTAGTGATGGAGGACTTCAATCTTCCCGACGTTGCTTGACAGAATTTTTCCTGCGACGCTGTTACAAGGTGTTTAGCTACCGAGCTTCTCGAGCTGGCCTTGCATGCTTCCCTGCACCAATTTGTCGATCGGCCTACTAGATTCATGACGGGTAAAAGCCCGTCCCTCTTGGACTTGCTCTTTGCTAAATCCGTTAATTTTGTTACGGCTATTGTATACAACCCACCTCTTGGTGCTAGCGATCACGCATGTCTTTCATTCAAGTGTGCTTTTAGTCGTCAGACTAATGATCATCCCGGCCGAGTTCCAAGTATAGGGCGCGCACTTTCAGACAATGAAAGCCAAGGCCGCAAAGTCGCCTTGTGTCATTTTGGAAAGTGACGACCTTCAAACGGCCTGGGACAGATTTAAATCATACTTGAGTGACCGCTCTCTCCCCCATATACCACTATCTAGCAGGAATAAAACTAGTGCAAAACCACCGTGGTTTGATTCTGCTGTACACAAACAAAGCAACAAACGTGCCAGATGTTGGCGTACTTACTTACCTTCTCCTTCATTATGCACTTTCAAGCGATATCCTGAGGTTCGAAATGAATGCAGGCAGTGTCAACGAGGTGCTCGTCTATAGCATGAAGTAGCGCTTGCGCGTATAGCCTCATCAAACCCGAAAAGCTTCTTCGCATATGTCAAAAGGCGAAGCGACATGAATTCGTGAATCCCAGTTCTCCTCGTAGGATGCGTCTGGTATAGATGCGTTCTCCGCGACGTCGGCGATAGTCTAAGGAAAATAGGTTCATCATCTTTAGTATGGTGAGGTAGGGGATTTTGCGTAGCCCAAGAACGAATATCGAGGCTTGTCGCTGAAATTTTTTACCTTGTCACTTTTACGTTTAGATAAAGGGGCTATGGCCGGAAGTGCAAATTCAAGAATGCGATGGATATGTGAGGTGAAGAAAAGTCTAACTAGCTGCGGCGTCATTTTAGCGAATGATCTCTTTATGACGCCCCACATCCTGTTTGCCGCAGCAGTTTTCTTCAACGTGTCAAGGGTCGTTTTGTGATCAGAGGATACCACTGTCCCCAGGTGCTTTTCCTGTGTGGCAATCTTGAGTAGGTGCTCGCCAATGTGATAGATGCCCAGTGGTTTAGCAGCATCTATAGAAAGGACTGAGCACTTAGCTTTGTTGACCTGCAAACCCCACTTGATAGACCAAGAGTGTAGTAGAGGAAGCGTTTCCTGTAATCGGTCGGAGTCTTCCAGTTTTGACACATCCGACCATAGGTTGAGGTCGTCTGCATAGATCAGACCATCCGTTTGTAGCATACTAGGTAGATCGTTGATATATCTTGAACGATTCCGGTCCGGGAACGGAGCCTTGTGGTGCGCCACTAAACATAGGCACAGAGAATGAAAGGGTATCGTTTACTTTGACTTCCATGTTTCGGCCTTGCAAGAAGTCAATGATCCATAGTAGGATGTTCCTTGTTACGTCCATTCCGCAGAGCTTACGGAGTAACTCCAGACGTGGGACTCTGTCAAAAGCTTTGCTGAAGTCGAGGAAGACCACATATAAACGTTTTCCAGCGTCCACTGATTTAGCCCCCTTCTCTCTTGCGATCAGCAGATTATTGCTGCAGGGATGTCCTTTTCTGAAGCCACGCTGGTTGACTGAAGTGAAGTGCAGATCTTCGCAGTGTCCGTTGGTAACACATTTAATGAGCTTTTCCATGATCTTGCAGGCGACCGACGTCAAGCAATTTGGCCGATATTTCGCAGGGTCCTGGCGGTTTCCGCCTTCGTATTTCGGCATAACTACACCCGTCTTCCAATCGACAGGTAGTCGACCAGATTTAAGAGAGAGCTGAAAGATTTACCGAAGTAGGAGGGAAATGACTTCTGCTACCTTTTTGAGTAAACGTGGGTGCAGCCCGTCTGGGCCTGGTGAGGAAGATGAGTTCAATTCTAGTAGCAGCTTCCGTGCAGCACCAGCTTGGTGCGCCTCCCGGTGAAATACTTGAAGAAAAGACAGCGTACGGAAGCGTGATCCCCGTGTTTTTAGGTATTGATATGTGTGCTGCGTTTCCGAAATGCACAAGTAGGGCGTCTGCGCGCTTCAGAATCTCACCCGGGTGGTAATTACGGGCTTCACTTCAAACGGACTAACAATGCCGAGCGTTTTCTACAATTGTGTGCAGACAACGTTGTTTCATAGTAGCACTGCTTTACGAGGCATTGGGCTGCGAAATGCTACTTGGCGTCCTCCAGTAGCTGACTAACGATGGGCCCAATTTGACCACATAGCCATAAGTTAAAGATGGCGTGCTTCCATCCTGCATTGCCGGTTGTACTGCAGTACCTGTGTCCACTGGCATCCTGCCTTGGTACGCTGTCATTTCTCCATGAACATTACCGGGAGGCGCACCAGGCGTCCCCTCAGATTGGTAACTAAAATATTGTCTTCCCCTAGGTCAGGAAAGCCTATCAAGCCACAGTGCATACCGAACATTTGCGGCCGCGTTTTTATGACACTGACCTTCAGTGGCATAGGATTTCGGCCGCCATGCACGACGCCGGATCACCCGCTTGTGGCACTTTCAACCGTCACGGGACCAGTCACTATATCCGAGAGATCCGTGGACCTGTTGAAATCTAGAAGCAACTTCCATGCTGGATATGGGCACGAAGTGACCACTCGGCCTATTAGACGAACAGTAAAGCAGCCTACGTACTGACAAGGAAGCGTGGTTTACCACGGCCCAAGAAATTTAGGAGGCTGGAGCGGTAGGCAATTACGTCAAGCTCTACCAGCTGATCCGCACCACTGGGCCCAGGAAAGCAGGCGTCAGTGAGACATTCAGAGGGCACGCGGGTGCACTGATACACAATAACGAGTGTCGTATGGCTCGTTGGGCACCCGGGAAAGATTGTTGGGCTTGCCCAACGCGCTGCAGTACGGTAATACTGTGGAACCCGCTTCAAAAGGTTCATGGATATAATACTGCGCGGTAGAATCAGCTTTCTCTACATTCCCTAAGCATAGCACGTAAGGGAACACGTCATCCCTGTTTTACTGATTGCACGACATTTCCTTGTTACCTAATCCTTGACTTCGTAGGATTCATGATTTCACTTCGGAATACAACGAGCCTTCTTTCACATAGTCGCACATGGATGCGGACGAACCCTACGGTTTGGCGGTCTGATTCTTCCGATTAAAGCTCACGTAGCACGCTCGCAACATACTCCCTCATGCCGCCGTGTTACGTAGGATCCGCCGCCGACATCAACCCAGCCGTAACCTACCGCAGCATGACAACACGGAAATGGTAACGATGCCCAGTTTCAACGCGTGCAGCTGCCTCACCCAACGTCCGCAGTCACACTGAGGCCACAGATGTTCACAGGCAGGCGTCTGAAATGCATACATACTGCGTTCAGCTCACTTAACACACTCATCACGTCCTCCCCACGTCGCCCTCTTGTGTAGCATCTTCCTACGACATCGCCACCAGCCGTAACGTCTGTCATCATGATAACACGTAAGTGTTTCTTTCATTCACTTACGTATCAACAGAACCTGTAACAATTCCCGGATCCGCTGAATGCCGCTGCCCTACCCGGCTTCCTCGGTAACACTGCAGCCTACGCTTTACACAGGCAAGCGACTTCAATGTATGGACTCTAATTTCATAGCACTTGGCACTTATGAGATCGTTATGTGGTATGAGTTTCCGCGGCTTCCCGACAGTAAGTATCTATTGCACGTGAATTTCCGAAACCTAACTGGTTCCAATTGTCCATGTCTGCGTCAACGACCTCACGGCCCTTCTCAGGTCCACCATATGTGCTATAGCCTTTCGTTTCCCACTGCAAGCACCATCTAAACACCAGGCGGCTTTCAACGGTTGGAGCACTGGGACATGGGTGCATTTGGTGGATCCGTAATCGTCCACCGAACAACGTACTGGACAGTCCACTTGAATACGGTGTGCAACTGCTGTCGTAACCTATTTCTGGATTTTCAGACAGCGTAGCAGCTACAATCCCGCTTTTTCGCTTCTCTAACAAACATTTTAGTTACGAATTATCACTCATAGGGCCATGCATTGGTCTTTACTGAACACATTTGAAAAGCTAAAACGGAACAGGAGATAACCGATGCGTTAACCGGTAAGTTACCTTCACCTACGCTGCAGTGACTCTATACTGCAAACGTAGACCAAACTTCATTTTTATTGACGTCTGGCATTGCATATTAACCTTGACCAACAATACAAGAGGTGTGCAGTGCATTCTCACAGCAGCCGGTAAGCACGTTGTTTACCGCTCTCCGTTTCTTTTGCAGTCTGCGGCCGCTCGTGTGATTTACCTCATCCGCCTGTCCGCAAACCACTGCATTATTGTGGTTCCGACGTGGCAGCAATGGTCACTACAGTATTTCGGAAATCAACTTCTAGACAAGGTAGGTGACAATGCTGGACCAAAAAGTTATCAATGGTGGAATTTGTACCTTCGATGGGTCAGTCGCCCTTATGCACCCTCTTCTCCTGTTGATGGGTGGCACCGCAATGAAAAGTTGTCAAACGTTTACCACCGAACTGCGTTACTTT